AAATTATCTGGTGAAGAATTAAAAAAACTTCTTATTTATTTAGCATCGATTAAGTAAATCAAATTAAAAAGAATTAAATTGTAAATTGTTTTTTTTGTCCGTATTTCTCTTAGTTCATCAAATGGTGATCCAAGATTTACATTTATTGTTGATATGCGACAACGTACATGGGAAAATTGTAAACATATTTTTAAAGTTCTACAAGTTTGTGATTATAAGAAGATTTTAATTATCGAATCTTTTTATTTTTAATCAATATTTTAGGAACAATTTCCATATAAAATTGAACATGTATATATTGTTAAACCGGATGGATTTTGGGATAAACATAAAATATCACTTGGCATGTCGAAATATACATTTGACGTACGAATAAAGAAGATATTGCAATGAGGCCGGTTTTTCGTTTGCTTTCCATCAGAAGGGCTTGTTAAGAGTATATTTCCTGCAAGTTAATTTTACTGTATCTCAACATTACTTTTTTGACCGCTGTAAATTCGAAGACAATCAGATTTTAATAGAGAAAAACAGATACGACTAATAAACTGAACATGTTATCGTTTTTTTTGCTTCGCAACTTGTTTTATATAAGAAATATACTTAATTTCTAAAAAAATAAAACACATGCTTTACTTAAATATGAATTGGAATCAGCAAAAACAAACGATGTACATCAGTTTTCCAGAGATCTACTGGAAAACCGATCCCATGATCTTAGATAATGTACACTTTTCAGCAACGTCATCGTATGCAGCACATCCTAAAATCTATTCCTAGAACATTTCATAGTTTTTAGTCGACATTATCATGTACTATACTAGTTGGTTCCACCTAGGAAAAAAATTCCCTTTCTTGAGAATAGGTACACATCAAACCCAAACGTTCGGGTTCGGTCTTGAATACAATCATTTTCAGTTAATTAATAAAACTAGGGAGTAGGAGTAAACCAAATGAAAGAATTTTATAGTTTGCTATAATAACACCTTCCGATGGAAAAGAAACGAAAAAATAATGAACACAAAAAAAAATCGACTTTATCCTAACATCTCCTTTGTTTCTAGCATTC